CGGAGCAACCTGCGCCAGCTCACTCTCAGCGCAGCGGGGGCTGCTCGGGGGCCGACCAGATCGACTCCCCCGACACCCCCCAGCTCGTGCTGCCGGCCAATATCGGGGACATTGAGGTGCTGAACCTGGGGAGCAACGGCCTGGAGGAGGTGCCCGACGGGCTGGGCTCGGCGCTGGGCAGCCTGCGCGTCCTGGTCCTGCGCCGGAACCGCTTCACCCGGCTGCCCCCAGCGGTGGCCGAGCTGGGCCATCACCTTACGGAGCTAGACGTGAGCCACAACCGGCTGAGCGTCCTGGGCGCCGAGGTGGTAAGTGCCCTGCGCGAACTGCGGAAGCTCAACCTCAGCCACAACCAGCTGCCCTCCCTGCCCGCCCAGCTGGGCGCCCTGGTCCACTTGGAGGAGCTGGACGTCAGCTTTAACCGGCTGACGCACCTGCCCGACTCCCTCTCCTGCCTTTCCCGCCTGCGCACCCTCGACGTGGACCACAACCAGCTCACGGCTTTTTCCCAGGCAGCTGCTGCAGCTGGTGGCCCTGGAGGAGCTAGACGTGTCCAGCAATCGGCTGCGGGGCCTCCCTGAGGATATCAGTGCCCTGCGTGCACTCAAGATCCTCTGGCTGAGCGGGGCCGAGCTTGGCACCCTTCCCAGTGGCTTCTGCGAGCTGGCCAGCCTGGAGAGCCTCATGCTGGACAACAACGGGCTGCAAGCTCTGCCCGCCCAGTTCAGCCGACTGCAGCGACTCAAAATGCTCAACCTCTCCTCCAACCTCTTTGAGGAGTTCCCTGCTGCGCTGCTGCCCCTGGCTGGGCTGGAGGAGCTCTACCTTAGTCGCAACCAGCTCACCTCAGTGCCATCCCTTATCTCGGGCCTGGGCCATCTTCTCACCTTGTGGCTAGATAATAACCGGATCCGCTACCTGCCGGACTCTATCGTGGAGCTGACCGGCCTGGAGGAGCTAGTCCTCCAGGGGAACCAGATCGCTGTGCTGCCAGACAACTTTGGCCAGCTCTCCCGGGTAGGCCTGTGGAAGATCAAGGACAACCCGCTTATCCAGCCCCCCTACGAGGTCTGTATGAAGGGGATCCCCTACATCGCAGCCTACCAGAAGGAGCTGGCTCATTCCCAGCCAGCAGTCCAGCCCCGCCTCAAGCTGCTCCTGATGGGCCATAAGGCTGCGGGAAAGACCCTGCTTCGTCACTGCCTCACTGAGGGCAGAGTGGAGGGGAATCAGGGTGGAGGTGACAAGGAGAAGAGCTATCTCCCTTCACCTCCTCCTGTGAGCAAGGGCATCGAGGTGACCAGCTGGACAGCAGATGCCTCCCGGGGCCTGCGTTTCATCGTGTATGACTTGGCCGGGGATGAAAGTTACGAGGTGATCCAGCCCTTCTTCCTCTCCCCCGGGGCCCTTTACGTGCTGGTGGTTAACTTGGCCACCTATGAGCCGCTGCGCTTTCCCACCACCGTGGGCTCCTTCTTGCATCGGATGGGGGCCCGGGTGCCTCATGCCGTCGTGTGCATTGTGGGCACCCACGCCGACCTGTGTGGGGAGCAGGAGCTGGAGGAGAAGTGTCTGGACATTCACCGCCAGATCGCCCTGCAGGAGAAACACGATGCTGAGGGGCTGAGCCGTCTGGCCCAGGTGGTGGACGAGGCACTGGCCCGGGACTTCGAGCTGCGTTCCGCCAGCCCGCATGCAGCCTACTACGGTGTTTCCGACAAGAACCTTCGGCGGCGCAAGGCTCACTTCCAGTACCTGCTCAACCACCGGCTGCAGATCCTCTCCCCCGTGCTGCCCGTGAGCTGCAGGGATCCCCGCCAGTTACAGCGCCTTCGGGACAAATTGCTCTCAGTGGCTGAGCACCGGGAAATCTTCCCCAACTTACACAGAGTGCTTCCTCGATCCTGGCAGGTACTGGAGGAGCTGCACTTCCAGCCGCCTCAGGCGCAGCGGCTCTGGCTCAGCTGGTGGGACTCGGCTCGCCTGGGCCTGCAGGCGGGGCTGACCGAGGACCGGCTGCAGAGTGCCCTCTCCTACCTGCATGAGAGCGGCAAGCTGCTCTACTTTGAGGACAGCCCGGCTCTCAAGGAGCACGTCTTCCACAACCTCTCGCGCCTCATCGACATCCTCAACGTCTTCTTCCAGAGGGATCCTTCCCTGCTGCTGCATAAGCTGCTCTTAGGGACCAGCGGTGAGAGCGAGGGGGAGGGCGAGAGCTCCCCCCTAATGGCTCTGTCCACCCAGAGCCAGGACACGCTTCGGGCCACGCAGCTCCATCATTACGTGGAGGGCTTTCTGCTTCACGGGCTCCTGCCAGCCCATGTCATCCGGTTGCTGCTTAAGCCTCATGTCCAGGCTCAGCAGGACCTGCAGCTGCTGCTGGAGCTGCTGGAGAAGATGGGACTCTGTTACTGCCTCAACAAATCCAAGGGCAAGCCTTTGAATGGGTCCACGGCCTGGTACAAGTTCCCGTGCTATGTGCAGAACGAGGTGCCTCACGCGGAGGCCTGGATTAATGGGACCAACCTGGCCGGGCAGTCTTTTGTGGCTGAGCAATTGCAGATTGAATATAGTTTTCCCTTTACTTTTCCACCTGGCTTGTTTGCACGCTACAGTGTCCAGATTAACAGCCATGTGGTGCACAGGTCGGATGGCAAACTTCAGATCTTTGCATATAGAGGGAAAGTCCCTGTGGTGGTGAGTTACAGACCTGCCAAGGGGGTCCTGCAGCCAGACACTCTGTCCATTGCCAGCCATGCATCATTACCAAACATATGGACGGCATGGCAAGCCATAACTCCCTTGGTAGAGGAACTGAATGTCCTACTTCAAGAATGGCCTGGACTGCACTACACTGTGCACATTCTCTGTTCTAAGTGCCTTAAGAGAGGGTCGCCCAATCCACATGCTTTCCCAGGTAAGGGGGGAGAGGGGCGTGGCTCTTCTGCGGTGTGTTCTAAGATGTACTTTTGGAAGATATCTGTTTCTCATTTGGCAGACTGCCTAACCTCACAGGCTCCCCAGGAAAGCTTTTCAAGGTAAATACAGGGGCCTGGGGGACAAGCAAAAGGCAGTGCATGCATGAGCAACATGAAATACAGTCCCCGGTATCAGACCTTTCTAGCAGAAAGACTGGGTTCCAGTCAAAACAGTTTGGAAATGTTTGTCTCTTTTTCCCTCTTCCCGATCTTGCCCACCTTTCATGAAAGGAAATTTCAGATGGTTGAACAGAAGGTGGATGGGGTCTGACGCTGAGCCCTGGGCTATCATACCTATTAGACAATCTCGAAGGGGTGCTCTGAGTTTGAGATGTCCATTGTCGTAGTCTTTTGTTTAAATTCAGAGTGTGATCATGAAGTAGAAATGATTGCTCATTTTTCTTAAGAAATTCCAGAGAAGAATGTTTTGTAATCAGGGTGAATGATGGATTAGTAAAGACAAAAAAGTCAGTCTGTAACGCATGACTCACTCCTGGGATGGCTGATGCTCTAGGGCATGAAAGAGCTTACTGAAATCTCTTAGGGGAGTTTTTGGGTATTTCCTGGCAGTTTTGTGCTCTACTGACATCTTAAGGTTTAGTTTTTAGTTAAGTATTAGAGAGTGGAACTTCATGGAGATGTTTGTAAGAGATGGGAGGACAAAAAGCTGACAAGATTTTTCTTTTCTTTTTTTTCTCTTGGGGAGTGTTTTCCAGCAGACTTTTTTTTTTTTTAACTGTTAATAATAGGTGAGAGAGACTTCCAGGACTAGTGGGATTTTTTGAGTCTGGCTAATTGATATTCTAAGAGTCTTTATTTGGGAATGTGTCCATTTCTTCACGCTTTGGAACTCTTCTCTAAACAGCTCTGATTTTTGTGAAGCAGACTTGGTTAACAACATTTCAAGTGTCCTGAGGACAAACTCCATGATAGCATCATTGCCAGGTTCTCCCCTCTATCCTCCACCCCCGGGTACATTGTGTGATGAAATGGAAGACCACTCTGATCTTTGTCCTAGTCTGAATGCTACTTGTAATAGTATCGGGAAGGAATTGGATATTTCCAAAGGTAACATCTCCCCATTGCCCTAGATCTAGGCTGAGCTCAGTTCTTCAGCTTGAGAAAAGCTACCTTATTCAGTTACCAGTCAGCTGAGCCACCCATTTGGTATGATTATCTGGTGTCTCTTCACAGTTGGTGAGTTGGTAGACTCTTCAGTTTGTGTTATGTTGCCATTGTCTTTTATTCATGAATGCCAAATACTTCTTTATTGTGCCACTAAATAGGAGAAAGTGGTTGAGAGTTACATATTCACAGAGCAGATTATTAAAGGAGCTACTTAAAGCCAGTTCCTAATGCACAGATGGAC